CTAGCTCATGCCCTTATCACCTCTCACCTGGACTATTAAAGTACCCTCCTAATTGGTCTTCCCGCCTCAAGTCTCTCCAAACTCCAATGAATGAGTGAATGACAAAGTATTTATTCAGCATTAATTATATGCCAGGCACTCTGATAAGCTGTGAGTACAACTAGAACAGTAAGACAGTGCTTGCTCTCGAGGAGTTTACATTCCATTTTTTTTTTCTTTGTTTTGTGTTTTGGTGAGGCAATTGGGGTTAAGTGACTTGCCCAGGGTCACACAGCTAGTAAGTGTCAAATATCTGGTCTGAGATCAGATTTGAACTCAGGTCCTCCTGACTCCTGGGCTGGTGCTCTATCCACTGTACCACTTAGCTGCCCCCTGAGGAGTTTACATTCTAATGGAGGAGCCAACACACAGAGGAAGTTTGAGCTGCACGTAGGATCCATCTTCCACTCAGACGCCAGTGATTTTTCCTGTGCAGATCTGATCAGATCACCCCTGTCCCCACTCCCCAGTAGCTCCCTACTGCCTCTAACATAAAACAGAAAAGTCTCTGTTAGGCTTCTCATTATACATGACTCTTCCCTTCCACACTCCACTGTCCAGCCAAGTTGGCATTTCTTCTGTTACCAAAACACACTGTTCTACCTCTTATCTCCACGCCTTTGCACTGGCTGTCCCCAAGCCTGGAACCCTCCTCACCTCTGCCTCATAAAATCCCTCTTTCTTCAGCTCAGGGAATTGCCTTCAGGAAATGCCTTCTGGTGGGAGCTTGCCCGGACGTGCACACATTCTCTCTCTCTCTCTACACACACACACATTTATGAACATGTATGCATATATGTGCATATACACGCTCATAGATATATATGGGGTCTCCCTCAATAGAAGGTAAGCTCACCACAGCAGCTGTTATCTCCTTTGTGTTTGTACTCCCAGTTGCTTAAAAGTGTGCCTGGCTCACAGCAGGCACTTAATACTTGTTGATTAACTGATCCTCGGTTCTAGTCTTCACGCTGTCAAAGACTTCTAAGTAATGTGAAAAAAAGTTATTTCTCACCTCTCTCTCTGACATCATGTCTCTACCTGAAGGAGGAGTTTGAATGCTAGACTTGGATTAAGGAAGAACTGAGTTCAAATCCTGCTCTAGATACTTACTAAATGTTTGGGTATGACCCTGAGCAGATTTAGGGCTGGATCAGACAACAGAGGTTATTGAGTCCAGCCCCCTTACACAACTATTAAGTGTATGAGTCAGGATTTGAACCTAAGTCTTCCTGATTCCAAGTCACTTCACTTCTCACAGCCTCAGTTTCCTCATCTGTAAAATGAGAATAATAAAACCTGCCTCATATGGTGGTTGTGAGGATCAAATAAGAGATTTCTAAAACATTTTGCAAACTATAAAGCTTTGTATTTTAGCTATTAATATTTCATTGCATTACAAAGCAACAGGGAACATTGGAATTTATGTCCATTAATAGCTCTGATATGATATGACCTGACTTGTCTTCCCTATAAAGTCAGAATTGGAGGAGAAGTCAAATCAATAAAGCATTTATAAAGCACCTATCATGAGCCAGGCGCTGTGCTCTGTGTACTGTGTACTGGAGATATAAAGAAAGGCAAAAAACAGCCCCTGCTCTCCAGTGGGCTCACTGGAGGCCCAAAGAGAGCTTAGTTGATTACGCAAGTCATCAGCAAAACTGAGGCAGAACAGTTCGGGGGCTGGGCCTCAGTCACTGAAGGCATTTTCTCCATTCTCTCCCCATTAAAGGGACTACCAAAAGCCATGAGGTTGCAAAGAAAATAAAACTGTAAATCTCGCCAAGGTGATCAGGAAGGCTCCAACTTGACCTCACAGATGGTCAAGGCAGTGGCCAGCGCTGAGCAGCAGGAGGCCTCAGAGAAACCCCAAGCTTGCTCTCAGCCTCGGAGATCCCCAGATGACCTTCTCCTTGCAGTCCAGATGACAGAGTGCAGCACACTGTCCACTTCATTCCATCCCATTCTGACGAACTCAGGTCTCTAGAAGACCAGGAGTTCAAGAGCCGGCAGAGTGTCTTCCTGTCACTGGTCCTCCACAACCTCTTGTGCAGGACTAGACACACTGAGTGTTAAATAGGTATTATCAGCAAGCTGACGAGCATTTGTTATGCATACCAAGTATATGCCAGGCACTGTGCTAAGGCTGGTAATGCAAAGAAAAGTAAGTACACAGTCCCTGCTCTTGAAGAGCTCACAGTTAACGGGTGAGGAAATATGCAAACAATTACATCTAAACAAGCTACACATAGGAGAAATTGAAAATAATCAACTTAGGATAGACACTAGCATTAAGGCGAGTCAGGAAAGGCTTCCTGTACAAGGTAGAATTTTTGCTGGGACCTGAAGGAAGCCAGAGAAACCAGGAGAGAGAAATGAGGAGGGTGAGAATTCCAGGCATGGAGGGTAGCCAGGAATCAGGCAGAATTGGGCGATGGAGGGTCTTACAGGAGGGATGACCAGAAGGCCAGTGTCAAGGGACTGAAGAGTATGTGGAGGGAGAAAAGTATAAGGAGACCTGAATGTAGGAAGGGGCCAGGTTATGAAGGATTTACAAATTCAAACAGGAGAGTTTATACTGATCCTGGAAGTAATAGAGAGCTCCTGGAGTCTACTGAATAGTGGAGTGCCACGATCAGACCAGTTCTTTAGGAAAATAATGACATCTGAGTGGAGGACAGACTAGAGTAGGGACAGACTTGAGGCAGGAAGAATAGCCATAAGATCATGGCAATAGTCCAGTGGTGAAGTGATGAGTATCTGCGTGAGAGTGGTAGCAATGCTAGAGGAGAGAAGAAGCTACACAGGAGAAATGTTAAGAAGGTAAAATCAACAAGACTTTGGCAACTGTTGGATACTGGGAGGGGGGTGGGAGAGAATGGAGTCAAGAATGACACCTAGGTTTTGAATCGGACGACTGGCAGAATGGTGCCACCATCTACATTAACAGAAAAGTTAGAAAGAGGGTTGGGAGAAGGGAAAAGAAAATTAGTTCAGTTCTGGACACATCAAGTTCAGAATGGCTATGGAACATCCTGTTTGAAACGTCCAATAGGTAACTAGAGATAAGAGACAAGAGGTTAGGAGAGACGGGGGCTAGATAAAGCAGATCTGAGAATCCTCAGCATAGAGATGATAACTAAATTCATGGAAGTTGATGAAATCACTAAGTGAGGAATAGTAAAGGGGGAAAGAAGTAGAGGGCCCCCAAAAAAGCCCAGGAAGACGCTGACCTGATTCAGGCACGACCTGAATGAAGATCCAGTAAAGGAGGCTGAGGAGCAGTCAGGTAGGAGGAGAATCAGGAGAAAATAGTGTCATGAAAACCTACAGAGAAGAGAATATCAAGAAGAAATGACTGATTCAAAGTGTCAAAGATTGCTCTAGAGAGGTCCAGAAGGACAAAGAATGAAAAAACGCCTTACTGCTGACCGTGATCCTGGGATCAAAGGATCCCAGGCCTTAGGGAAAATTACATCATCATCACCATAACCATCACCATCACCATCATCATCATCATCAGGATGTACACAGTACTTTAAGATTTGTAAAACACTCTATTATTTGACTTGATCCTCACAACAAACCCCAGGACATAGGTGCTATTATTATCTCCATTTTGCCTGGGACAAACTGAAGGGAGAAGAATCTCAAAAGAAGGAAGCCCTCCTTGGTTATCCTCTGGCCAGGGCTAGCTGCAATTTGTGAGGCACAAGGGCTCCTGAATCTGAATGTGAGCTCCAAGTCTTAGGCTCAAAGAGCCTTGGTCAAAAGTAAGACAAGACAGCACATTAAAATCCTCAGTTCTCTCTACATCTTGAAAGCTGGTAAGAAGACCTTCATACTAACTTCCACAACTCACCCCAGCTATTGGTCAGTCAGCTAGCACTTATTAAGTGCCTACTATGTGCCAGGGGCTGGGGAGATAAAGAAATGCAAAAGACCATCTCTGCTCTCAAGAAACTCACAGTCTAGTAGGGGACATAACAACAACATGCAAACACCTCATACCTACCAGATTGGTTAATATGACAGAAAAGGAAAATGACAAATGTTGGTGGGAATTGGGGAAAATTGGGACACTAATGCACTGTTGGTGGAGTTGTGAACTGGTCCAACCATTCTGGAGAGTGGTTTGGAACTAAGCCCAAAGGGCTATGAAACCATGTTATATTCTGTGACCAACTACTGTCTTTCTTCACAGCATCTCAGCTACAGCCTCTTCTCTCCCCAGAAAGCTGCCACTTTAGTACAGGCCTTTATCACTGCCTGCCTGGACCAGGTAATAACCTGCTGGTTAGATGCCCTGCCTCCCGTGTCTCCTTATTTAAACCCATCTTCCACTTAGCTGTCAAACTGTCTCTGATTGGTATTCAAAGTCCTATACACACACACACACACACACACACGCCCCTTCCTGTCTTCTTTACTCTTATCCAGTGACACTACCCTTCCTGCTAGTTATCACACCTGACCAACACTCCACCCCTCTCCTGACTTCAGGCTGTCCCCCACCCTGGCATGCTCTCCTTCCTAATCTCCACCTCCTGGCTTCCCTGGCTTTTTTTCAGGACTCAGCTCAAATTCCAGCTTTTCTAAGAATCCTTTCCCAATCCCTCCCCTCAATGCTAATCCCTTTCTTCTGATATCAACTCCAATTTAACCTGAATATATCTTATATATGCCCATTGTTTGCATGTTGTCTCTCCTTCTGAAATGTGAGCTCCTTGAGGACAAAGCTGTTTTTGCCCTTTTTGTATTCCCAGTAATTAGTATGATATCTGGTACATAGTAGGCATTTAATTAACACTGGCCGAACTGATTTATTGACTCCAGGTTTCCACCCTGCTCTGGGATTCTATGACCATTATAAAGCACTCTGACTAGAAAAAAGACACAATACAGTCATGCCTGTCAGTCAGAAGACAGGGGAAATCCTTCAAAAGATTTACCCTTTGTACCTTAGATGTGAGGTCCCGATGGAAGATGCCCTTAAAGTGAAGGTAGCGAAGGCCCATGGCTATATCACATGCCAGCTTCACTCTCACAGTCCAGGGTAGGTGCTGGTCACTGTCCAGGAGCTGTTCCAGGTTTCCACAGTTGATATACTGCAAAACAGGGGGGAAAAGAATCAAAGTTTGTTAGATATAATTAAGCTGCTTGTGACACCATGCAATTAAGTTCTGAAGGCAGGGTACATGCTTTGTTCATGTGTGTATGCCCCACAATGTTGCTTAGCACAAACCATATATACACTAAGTGCTCAGAAAATAAATGCTGAATGAAAGTGTGAATGAGTGAAACAAATGAAAGGATAAAATGAAGGAATGATGCTAGATGAGTTTGCTTATTACATTTTCCCTGAGACTTCTAAGCAGAGGAAGTACTAACCTCATGACAACAATTCTACATAACATCCATTCAACATCTATTAATGTTCTTTGATTCAGTCAGTTAATTAACATTTATTAAGTGCCCACTACATGCCAGGTCCTGTGCTAAGCACTGGGGACACACAGAAAGGCCAATGATAGTCCCTGCTCTCAAGGAGCTCAAAGTCTAATGGAGGAGACGACATGCAAATGATTATGTACAAACGGATGTACAAGATAAATTTCAGACAGCATTAAAAAAGGATGAACAAAGGCTTCTTGTAGAAAGTGAGATTTTAGCTGAGACTTGAAGGGAAGTCAGGAAGCAGAGCTGAGAAGGGAGGGCATTCCAGGCATGGGGGAGGGGACAGCCAGAGGGAAGACTCATAGTTAGGAGACGCAGCTTTTGTTCAGGGAATAGAAAGGAGGCCAGTGTCATTGCCCCCCTCCCCCCTCCCCGTATATGGGAATGGGAACGGTGTAAGGTGTAAGAAGACTGGAAAGGTCAGAAAGGGCCAAACAGAGGACTTTGTATTTGATCCTGGAAGCCAGAGAGAGTTGCTGGAGTTGACTGAATACGGGAATGACAAGGTCAGGCTTGCACTTTGGGAAGATCAATTTAACAGCTGGGTGGATATTGGATGGACTGGAGTGAGGAGACACATGAGGCAGGCTGACCAAGCAGCAGGCTACTGCAACAGTACAGCTACGAGATTATGAGAGATTGGCAGCGTCAGAGGAATGAAAGGGGAGTAGCCAAGGGACGGTATGATGGTAATATCGACAGGCAGCAGTTTGGATGGGGTGGGGTGGGGTGGGGCAGTCAAGGAGGATACTTGGGTTTTGTGCTTGGGATACTGGAGGACAGTGGTGCCCTTGACATTAACTGGGAAGTTTGAAAGAGGGGAGGGCTTGGGAGGAAAAATAATGAGTCCAATTTTGGAACTGTTAAGGTTAAGACATCCTGTCCATAAGACATCCTATCTGAGATGTCTAACAGGTAGTTGGAGATGTGAGACTGGAGGCCAGCGGGGAAGTTAGGATTGACAAATCAATCAAGAGAATCATCTTCATGGAGATGATAATCCAGTCAACATGCCATGATTTTTCATATTCCTCCAAATCCTGGGCTTGTTTCCAGAAATGGGCTACATAGGACTTAGAGGGAATCCATGGCCATGTGAGCCAGGAGGAACTCACTGGCAGCTACATGGCTTTTTCCCAGGTACTCCCAGACTTCACAGATGCATGTGGACACGTCATGAAGACAAGTATTAAAGAAAGGACTACAACAGAAAGGCATACAGCTACACTATACTTGGTAGAAGATCTCAATATGAGCTGCTGCCATCGCCCACCCCCTGGCCTCATCCTCAAGGTCTTGAATTTTCAGAGAAGAGCTACCGGGCTCTCCCTTGGCTGAAATGTAATTGTCCAGATTCTTTTCTTTCATCCCTTAAGAGCCAAAGATCTGAAGAGAGAGGGGTTTGTTTCTTTGACTCTGGGAAGGAGTTCTGATTTCCTCCCTGTTCCGGGAGAAGAGTCTGATGCCGAAAGCCCTAGTGGCCAGCTTCTAAGAGTAGCACATTGAACTTCGTTCAGAGGTTGATGTCCACTTCCATACAAAGGCAGGGTCCTGACTTCATGTTCAGTAAGACCCTGATGACCTGGACAGCAACAGATAGACAGAAGTGGGAAAGAGGGGTCAATACAGAAAGACCATAGGGGGAAGAAATGTAGTCCAATTGGCATAGCCTATGTTCAAAAAGCAAGGACAAGAAAAATACAAACCAATGCAGTGAGAGTGGGGGGACAGAGGGAGGGTCAACTGTTTGGTTTTAGTGATGGCTGAAAGGCAAGGCATCTGGCCACTTCAAGAACCACAAAATCTGAGAGAGAGAGAGAGAGGGAGGGAGGGAGAGAGAGAGAGAGAGTGTGAGTGTGTGTGTGTGTGTGTGTGTGTGTGTGTGTGTGTGAGAGAGAGACAGAGACAGAGACAGAGATTAAGGGAGACTCAGAAAACTGCACATAACAAACACCTCCAATTTGTGCACATATCACTGGCCCATATACACAGCAATAACTTTCTTGTTCCCAAAGAAGGCCTTGGGCCTGGACAACCTGTCCCTATTGTCTGCAATCTTTCCAGATTAAAGTCCTTGCTCTTAGTTGTTCCGGCTCTAAGCAAATCCTTCTGGGGTTATCAGAGAGTTAGCATCACACCACTGCAGGCCCATTCAGCTCTTAGCGGCCAGGCTCTTTTTTCATGGGCCACTTCCACCCAAAAAAGAGCCTCAAAAAGGGAGACATTATTGTAACCACTTGAGAAAGACATGTTTCTATGTTACAGAAATTTTATTTTATTCAAAATACAAAATCTTATTTTATTTCTCTGAGTTCTCAGATCCCCTAACATTCCATCAAAAGAGGCAATGTGGTGCATTGGCTAACAGCTTACAATGATATCAATATAAATGCTTCAAGGTTTGCAAAGCACGTTATAAATATTATCCTACTTTATCCTCACAACAACCATGGGACATTTCCTTTTTCTTTGATCTCTTTGGTTTACAGATCTAGGAGTGGTATTGCTGGGTCAAAGGGTATGCATAGCTTTACAGCCCATTGGGCATAGACCCAAATTGCTCTCCAGAATGGCTGGACCGGTTCACAGCTCTACCAACAATCCATTAGTGTCCCTATTTTTCTACATCCCCTTCAGCATGTGTCAATTTCCTTTTCTGTCACATTAAGATAATCTGATGTGTTGTGAGGTGGTGCCTCATAGTTGTTTTAATTTGCATTTCTCTAATTATTAGTGATTTAGAGCATTTTTTCATATGATTATAAATAGCTTTCATTTCTTTCTCTGAAAACTGATTAATCCCATTTATCAACCAGAGAATAGTTCTTATTTTTATAAATTTGGCTCAATTCCCTATATATTTGAGAAATAAGACCTTTATCTGAGAAACTGCTAAGATTTTTTTCCCAATTTCCTACTTTTCTTTTAATTCTTGCTACTTTAGTTTATGACTGTGATAGAATATGACTGTGTCATAAGAAAGTTGTCGCCAAGCAGCATGGTTTCAAAATACCCCAGGAAGACTTACATGAAGTGACATAAAATGCAATGAGCAGAACTAGGACAGCACTGTACAAGGTAACAGCAATATTATAGGAATGATTAACTGTGAAAGATTTAGCTACTCTGATCAAGACAATGATACAAGACAACTCCAAAGGACCCATGATAAAAAATGCTATCCACTTCCAGAGAGAGAACAGATGAATTGAGTGCAGATTAAAATATATTTTTTCACTTTCTTTATGTTTTTTGCTTTTTATTTCATTTTTTTTTGCAACATGGCTAATATGGAAATGTTTTACATGACTTCATATGTATAATGAGTAATATTTCTTGACCTCAAACCAGGAGAACATCGTACACAGTAACAGCAACACTGTGCAATGATCAACTACAATAGACTTAGTTCTTCTCAGCAATACAATAATCTAAGACAATTCCAAAGGACTCACGATGGAAAATGCTATTCACATCCTGAGAAAGAATTGTAGAGTCTGAACGCAGATTGAAGCAGACTATTTTGACTTTTTTTTCCTTTCTCATGGTTTTCCCCTTTTGCTCTGATTCTTCTTTCACAACATGACTAATGTGGAAATATGTTTAATATGATTGTACATGTATAATCTAGAGCAGATTGCTTGCCGTCTTGGGAAGGAGGGAAAGAGAAAAAATTTGGAACTCAAAATTTTATAAAAGTGAATGTTGAAAACTATGTATGTATGTGTGTATATATA